TTTTTTCCATTGTTATTTAATGGAACTGCTAATTTTACAATTTGTGCATACAGTTTTACAGTAACTGAAAAGTGAAGAAAACCAATTACAGTAAACTTTACAGTATAACAGTATATTCTCTATTGTTTTAAAATGCATTACTCAAGAAAGGACCAAAAATTGAATACAATAATAAAATATTTTACAGTTAAACAATATTACACTGTAAATACATTTACAGCAAGTTAAATGACACTGTAAAATAAAATACAGTATATTTGCTACAAAATAAAATTACAGTAAGTTACGAGCGAACTGCTGCCAGGTAGTTACTGTAATTTCTAAAAGTCCGGACTTAAATCCGATTGAGATGCTTAAACAGGCTGAATTAAAACAATTCTGCAAAGAAGAGTGGGCCAAAATTCCTCCACAGCGATATGAAAGACTCATTGCCAGTTATCGCAAACACTTGATTGCAGTTGTTGCTGCAAAGCGTGGCACAACCAGTTATTAGATTTAGGGAGCAATTACTTTTTCACGTAGGGCCAGGCAGGTTTGGACAGCTTTTTTCCCTTAATAAAATAAATAATCATTTAAAAACTGCATTTTGTATTTACTTGCATTATCTTTGTGTAATATTAAAATTAGTTTGATGATCTGAATCTTTTAAGTGTGACAAATATGCAAAAAATAAAAAAAACAGGAAGGGGGCCAACACTTTTTCACACCACTGTATATGATTTGACTGTTTATTTCAATAAATATAAAAAAATCTAAAAGGTGTGCCTTATAACCGAGAACTACATGACCACTTCACAGTTGGTTGTGTTACTGTAAGTCATTTTCCTCAAATGCTATTGAAGTTAGAAAGGTGTATACCACTGTCGTATGTAACTTTAGAGACGGTCCCTAGATTTGTGAATATCGAATGCCCGGAAATGACACCTCTGGCCATTCCGTTGGGTCGTTTGTAAAGTCACAGATACTGTACGGACAATACGGCTCAATTTTTCTATGTATCTTGCTCTGTTGAACGGCAAAAGTGACTTTACTAGGCTATACTGGATTTACACCATGCATCTCCTGTCAGCGGGAAAGCCGCGCCCCCACCTATCACAAGAGGCCCATGGTTGACACCCTCTCATTAGCATGTTGTGCAGAGGAAAAATAAATGCGGAACTACATTCAGAAATAAATGAGTGATCAAAGGAAAATAAATAGGATGAGTTTAGCATTTCTTTAAACATTTTCCATTTGTCCACTAATTTATTTTATTTAATTGCCTACTTTAATCACATGTTTAATTATTTCTATATGTATTTAAACAAGAATTTGTGTATTTATACACACATTTATTTATTTATTTGTGTATTTATTTATTTATTGTTTTTGCAGGTTTCGTCCTCCATACAGTACAGCCGTCATCTGTACAACAGTTTTGTCATCATTTAAGTTTTGGTGAAGTTTAATTTATTCAGTTGTGAGTTAATAGATTTTTATTATTCTGTTAACATTACTGGCCTCGTCTCGTTATATTTTTCTATCAGTTTTGTGGCCGTGTGAATACACTAGGGTGTGTTAAAGTGTGTTTGGCATTATGTAAATCTGCTGTCTGCAGTGTTCTATCACTAGATGGCGCTGTCAGTTTAAACAGCTGTCAGGGCATCGTTCAGTCAGTGTGTAATGCTGGGTGAATATCTGCAGGCCAGATTACACAGAGCAAGGAAAAATACAACAGTACACGGTATTGCGTATTCTATTTTTGGTATTTTTTTAATAACGAAATTCGCTCTAGCACTGCGAAATTTAATTTAGGCAAATATATGTGCTTTTTTTTTACATTATTAGGCTACTAATCATAAAAAAAACAACTTGAATTTTTTATTACTTATTTTATTGGAGCACCCAGACAAAATTATTTTATGATGGTGATGATGATGGGGGAAATCAGTACATTAGCCTATATACCATTGAATCATTAAATAATTAATTAATTAAAATCTTCCACACCAACATTAAACAATACACAAAATTATAAGATGTGGAAATGAACCAAGTGGAATAAACTATTTATTTTATTTATTTTATTTTGGTTTGATGAAACCACATTTGATTCTTTTTCTAAACTTTGACCTCATACTCCCACAACTTGTGTATTTTTATTTGTTGCCTAAATTATTATTATTGTTATTATAATTACTTTTTTGTTTTGCTTTTTACTTGACAAGTTAAATTAATGAAAAGAGAAAAAAAAGGATTTTTGCACGAATCGAATGTTTTTGAATTATTAGTTTACTATTAGTTGAGGGTTTACAATTGTTTTTCAATACTGAAAAATCAAGGGACGCTTGTTCCCATCTTGAAAATGGCCCATATACTTTCTCTGTCCTGTTATAATAATTCATTATCACATGAAAACCCTTGATTTCACCGATACTGGAAGCACAAGGGCTCGGATGGCCTACACCCAGTTTCTGCGCATTGTGATCAGGTGAAAAGCGAAATGCGCTCTGGTCGTCAGAGTCCTGTGGAGCAGATCAGCGGATCGTGGATCAGGCAGCGGCGCGGGGTGGAGTGAGTGATGGGTGTGGGCGGGGCTCTGCGCTCTTCAATAACCCGAGTGCGTGAAGTAAACCTAGTCTGAAAACAAGACGTGCAACAAGTGACTTTGACCAACTGAGAGGAGATGGAGCTTTCGCTTTGTGTCACAGCTGTTTACAGAGCTTGATCAGCAAATAAACGCTTATTTTTGGGATAAACGACAGACAGTGGTGAGTGCTGATTTTGGGTTGGGTTTTGTTTTTATTTATTAGTGTGCGGATCTCTGCTGTTCTAGAGGCATTTGGGCAACATGGTAGTAGGTGAAATAAAGTGTATTAAAACATTGAAATTAAAGTTTATAAACTTAAATGAGCAGCCAAACCGGTAATGTTCTTGTATTGTAAACCTAACAATATTATTAAACTGTGAAACTGTGTAAAACTATATTATTAAAAGTGCCTGGAGCATCTGTTAGGATGATTGTTTGGTATTAATTACGCAAACTATTAATTAGTATGCAGAAAGCAATTCAACAAAAAAATAAGTAAATAAATAAATACAACTTCTGGCTCAACCATATGCATATGTTTTAGATGCATAGAAATGGAACCCCCAAAATAAATAGTTGCATTATTCAACATGATTAGATTTGCAGTGTAGTGTAAACCAAAATGTAAATTAATTCACTTGCATTAAAAACATGAAATTAATCTGGGCAAACCGTATCGATGCAGTCTGCCTGATGTAAGTAAATGCGAAGGAAATTTCATTGTTAGATGGCTGAGTATTCCTGCTATCCCTCCTGACAGAGTTATGGTGTTTGCTCTGTCATCTAAAGATTGATTATCCATAAACCTTATTGTTGAACATTTTTTGTTGATGCTCTAGCTATAGCTGTTTTTGGTCTAGATTAGATTTAGTTGGTAGCAAGAGTTAAACTTAAGAGCGTTTCAAAAGAAAAACTCTGTTTTGAGTTTCCCTGGAAGAGGAATGCAGGTGGAGGCCTGGTTGTAAGAGTTGGCCCAGCCTGAGTTAGCTTCACTGTCAAAGCTACACATTTCCAGTGGGCACAATGAGAGGAAAGGAGCTACATTAACACCATTGAGTCCCTCTGCACATAGTACATGTGACACAGGAGCTGAAAGAGGCTATTGTGTCATATCCATTTTTCTGCAGCAGAGCTCTGTTCCTTGTGGATAAGGGGGCTTGCCGCTTTTTAGCTTGCCCTTATTGTTCTTTCTCATCCCACTCTATGGAGCTGGAAAGTTTGAGTCTCTTCTGCTCACTTGAGTGTCGGACGATGAGAAGAACTTTCTTTTTTGGCTTGTTTGTTTATGATGATGTGCTCGTTTGGTGTTTTTGTAGTAGTTTTTATTCTCAAGACTTTAGGTCTTCCAATCCTATGCTTTCAACCTGTAGGCTCTAGTGTCACCTTCATTCTTCATTGAACGGATTCTTTACTTGCTCATTGAAAATGAACCAATGCCGTCTTTGTTTTCTTCATTGTCAAGCCCTCAGGGATCTCACAGGTTGCATGCATCGTAATACACTGCATGCTTTGGTCATACCATTTGCTGTTGCAACAAAGACATCAATATGACTCATGCAATCTTTTGTTGGCTTTGAGGTGAAAGGATGTTATCAGTGGGGTCCAGAAGAAACTGATAATAGTCTGTTGCGTGGTGTGATGCCTGTAGTGGAGTGATAGTTTTGCAGCTTTGTGTTTTGCCATCCCTGAGGCACAATACTGTTGCTCATTGCGTATGTCACTGAAATTCTTTGGACGTGATGGCACTGTCAGACATAGTATGAGTGCAACTGGGTATTTTTGATTATTTGGAGTCAAAATGGGCAGTATTTTGAACAAGTTGTACTCATAGAAACAAATTATATGAAAATGTCTTCACTGCTATACTTTAGTTTATTTCCATTAAAGATATGAGCTCTTGACAGACAATTTAGTCACCAGCTGTTTCAAGACAATTGAATATTAAATCTGTTTTCCTCTGTTTTTTTCCTCTCCACTTATCTTTCTAACGCAGCCCCCAT